CCAAGGATGAGGGGTCCAAAGGCCTCCAGAAACAGGACGAGTGTTTTGTAGGGTGAGAGGAGACCAAATCATGGGCACCCCCATGCCTGCCCTAAATATACCAGCTCTGGCCTCTGAACGGGTCTCTTTGGTGACAGGACTGACTGCTACAGCACCCACCCCTCACTCCCCACTGGGCTGTCCCGCTTACCAGCCACACAGGCCCTCCAGGACACTGGCTCCGGTCTCTCAGGGAACAGCCTGAGGGTAAGGTCTTGGGGAGAGAAGTGCTCAGTCCTGCAGGGACAGCCCTGACACAAAGAGCCAGCTACTCTCCAGTTATCCGTTCCAATCGGAAGAGTGACTGTCCTGGGCTGGTCACAGGAAGAACATCAAGAACTTCCTGCAGTGGCTCTGGTGGCTGCCCAGGCTTATCTCTTAGGGTTAGAGCTGTGCCTTCCCCTGGCAGCTCCTCTGAGGACCTCAGTACTCTGCTCATGCAGAGGCCAGGTACAGGGTAGGCAGGTACTAGACACCAGGAAGGCGGCTCAGAAAACCCTGGCCCAATGGTAAGATCTTGGAACCTGTTGGAGCCAACAAGATGGTGGCCTGACCACTGGGCTATTACAATTTTAGGGCTTCCAGAGAATGTCCTGCCAGGCAGTGCCATTCCTTTTACGCAGCTGGGAATCCAAAGCCAGCAAGAGGCTGAGACCTGCCCAGGATCTCTTAGTGACACAGAAGGGCCAAAACCAGGTCTTGTGGTGGCCACCTAAGCATTCTGTCAACACGCCACACCACCACCCACCTTTCCTCAGAGTGATCAGGTGGGCCATGAAGGAAAAAGGATGTAGAAAGAAGCAACAGCTGGGACAGAGGGCCACAGAAGAAAGATGTCTGTAATAACCCTCGAAGTGGGCTTGGGGTGTAGTTTAGGGGTAGAGCACATGCTTAGCATGCTCCAGGCCCCGAGTTCAATCCCCATACCACAAAAAAGAAGAGAGAAAAGAAAATATTGGAAGGGGTTGCCTACAGGCAGCAGTTCCCCGACTCCAGGTGGGGTCAAGCAGGGGGACGAGGGTGCCATGGCAGGCACTCAGGCCAGATGCTCTCGGAGCCCCTCCTACAGCTGAGTTCCCACCACTCCAAAGAGGGACAGGCACTTGAGACAAAGCAAAGAATGACCATTCAGAGACAGAGTGGTACACAAGTTGGTAGAAGGCTGGAGGCAAGTGATCCAGAAGCACAGGAAACAGAACCATCCTCACCTATTGAAATCTTTCTACAGCTTCGTCATTAGTCTTGGGAACAGTAAGAGCTGCTGGTATTCACTGAGGGCTGGCCACGTGTTGGCCCTGCATTGAGTGTCTGAAACACATGGTCTCAGGAATCCATCACTCCAGAGGTGGACCTGATATTGCACAGGGCCACAGGTGAGGAAGGGCAGGCCCACAGTGGCAGAGGCAGCCCCACCCAGGTCTGCACCAGGGGCTCTTCAAGAGCCACTGGATCAGATGCTCTGGTGGTGCAGCCCAGCAACCTGAGTTTAACAAGCCTCCCTCTCTCAAGTTCGGGAACCAACTGCTCTAATTCCCAATGCTGCTAACTGGGAAAAAGAGACACTTCTATGCCTCTTGTCTTTTCGGGTCATTCCTAGCCCAACTGATGAGGTCCCCCAACCCAGGAGGTCCTTACTCCAAATCTTCTGCGTTGTCCACTAAGTCCCAACCTCATTCTACATCTCATCATCTTCTAGGGTCTGTCCTTGAAGTCATATCCTCCCAAAAGCCCCCGGGAACACCTAATGCTTGAAATAACTTCACACCCCAGTCACAATTATGCCAAGCAACTCATGTGGCACTTGTTGGCACACAGTGCCTTCCAGGTACTGCTCATAGCTCTCCACTTGACTGCGTGTTTCTGGAAGCCCGAGCCTGTTCCTTATACATCTATGTCCTGACCCCGCATAGCACAAGGCATAGAGAGGCATCAGCATAGGTTTGCTAACTATCAGAGGAGGGGAGATGCCTTGGGAAAGCAGACTCCCATTCTCATCCTGCCTTCCTATATCTAGGGCTCAGCTTCCTTATCTGTGAAATGCACCAGTATTCTAGTTTCTTCTTCACTGGATAAACCCAACAGAGCCTCACCCCAGACTCTTCTCCAGTGTTAGAGTCACACAGGAAGACTAAAAAGGTCCCTGCCTTCACCATCATATTCTAGGAAAAGAGAAAGACAATAAATAAAATGATTAGATGCCAGCCCATGAAGTTCTGTACATATACTTTCTCATTTGCAAATAAACAAACTTATTTCTGAGCTTGATGAAATCATAAAAAAATAGACAGTAATGTGACAGAAAGTGAAAAAAAGGGGTACTTTGCATAGAAAGGTCAGGGAAGGCCCCTCTGAGGAGGTGACATTTGAGCTGAGACTTGACAGATAAGGAAAACCAGCCATGGGAAGAGCTGGGGAAAGGTGTTCCAGGCAGAGGGAACAGTAGGTGTGCAAGCTCAGGGTGAGAACAAGCTGGGCATGCTGGAGTATCCCTCCAGGCTGGCATGGTGTGGCTAAGCCACACCTAGTGCAGGAGGAAAATAATAACCAATGGAGGGAGGCAGACAAACAGCCTCCTACAATGCTGCCACGCTCAAATCAGGTCGGCCTGACCCAACCAGGACATCCGGGCCCCAAGTCACAGGCAGTACTGGGGGTAAGGGTATGAGTCAGACCCCACAGCTTCCTGGGGCCTCAAAAGACCTGGTATAGGTATCCAGGGGCAGGCACCAACCCTCAGCCATGCTATACCCACGCCCACAGGACACCCATGGGTTGGGGACTACATGGTCACGCAAGTATATAGGACACAGGACACTCCCACCAACAGCTTCCAAAGGGGCATGATCAAATGCTTCCATGAAGGGCTAGTCCCTGATCACATTATTTGAACACAACCAGAACAGCCTCAGCCAGTGGAAAGGGAAGAAGGTTCAGATATAAGGCTTATTAGTCTTGAGCAAGTCTTAACCTTTTTGGGCCTTAGTTTCTTTATCTGAAAATGAGATTACCACAAGGTTGTAATACTGAGCCAGGTGTGTTGGTGCACACCTGTAATCCCAGAGGTTTGGGAGGCTGAGGCAGGAAGATTGCAAGTTCAAGGCCAGCCTCAGCAAGACCCTAAGCAACTCAGTGAGACCCTGTCTATAAATAAAAAAAGGGCTGGGTATATGGCTCAGTGGTTAAGCATCCCTGGGTTCAATCCCCAGTGTGTCCCCCACCCCTGTCCCCCAAAAAGAAACACTGACTGTAAAGCACTGTGCCTGGCACATGGAAGTATTCATAAATGTAAGCTATTATCACTACCATTATTGGTTTCTTCGCTGCCTAAGTTTGCTCTGCTGCAAAAGGAATATTAATACAATGTCACTGGGTTGCTGAATTTGAACTAATAAATATTCCACCCTCCTAATACAATATCCTCTGTCAAGGTTAAAAAAAAGTTCTGAGAACCTCTTTTTTTGACCTCTCATCAGATACCAAAATCCCCTCTATCACACCCCCATTATTTGGAAAATGAGTAAGAGCTGATTAAATCCCATTTTGACGTTACTGTGAAATAAAAATGATGCATTAGGAATCCACACATTTCCCTGCACTGTCATTCTGTAAGGGGGTGTGGATGGATGTTGCTGATTCTTTTGCATCATCCACAAAAGTCCCTCCCTCCCCTTATCAAAAACACAATTTCTCACTTGGTCGCACAAAATTCCCACCCATTCTTTGTATATAAAATTAATAAATGTAATGAAGTAACGCAATTACTTTCATATACATTCATTCTCTTTCTCTCTCTCTCTCTCTCTCTCTCTCTCTCTCTCTCACACACACACACACACACACACACACGTGTGCGTTGAGTACACAAATGTCCTACAGTACAAAACTCAACCAACAGTAAAAACTCCACCCCTGAAGTCACTCCCAGTAACTAACAACATCTACCCTGCACATGCAAACAAACGTCTCCAACAGTGTGCAAAATATGTTCCAACAAAAACAGTACAGCAGAGCCTCTGAAGCAAGGTGCCTGAGTTCAAATCCTCAGTTTGCAACTCACTAGTTGTGTGAACCCAATCTCCTAGATTTCCTAAACTGCAGAAGAGGGCAAATAATACTCATGTTTAGGATGGATATAATAATGAAATGAAATGAACACGTAAAGCATTTAGATCAACATTTGGAGAGCGCCCAATAAGTTATCTTCCTCATCGATACATGCATGTACACATTGCTTCCAGAACTATACAAAACTACTCACGCCGCACAGTTTTCTCTGAAAGAACCCCGGCTCCGCAGGAGCGCCGGTACCCCGAGGGTCTGCACGCGGAGCACAACGCCCCCACGCCCCGCCCAGGCTGGCTCTCCCTCGCAGTGCGCACGCGCGCCCCCCACCACACTCCGCTCGGGGCCCCCGCAGTCTAGCGGCCCGAGGAGATGCCTCTGGACCTCGCGCACCCCACCCGGGTGTGGGGGCTCGGGCCGCCTCCGCGGCCTGACGACGGAGGTTCTGAACGGCCCCAGTCCCGGCCTCCCTTCTCCCTCCATCCCCGCTGGGCCCGGCCGGCTTACTTAAGGTCGAGGGGTCGGGGGAAGGACAGAGCCCTGCTCACCGCGCCCAGCCCCGAGTCCAGGTTCGGGACAAAGGCCCCGGCCAGGTTCCGTCCTGTGGCACTTCTCCGGCTCCCGGGTAGGGCAGGGGGACGCGGCTGAGGACGAGGAAGTGCTGGGGGCCAACTTGCCCCACCCCTGGGAAAGTCCCCGGTGATCGACAGGCCGATCGACCAATCGCGCAGCGCGCTCCTGATCGGCCCGCGGCCGCCGGGGGAGGAACTGAGCGAGGTAAACAGCTGCCGCCCGAGTTCTACCCGAGCTGAGAGCCGGCGTAGAGGCTGCCGGTTATCCCGGTAGCCCCCGGCTGCCTTCCCGCGGGCAGCGTCGGCCGCGGCCCCGGCGCCGGCGCCCCGCCCCCGCTGTGCAGCCCTTAGCGGCATTCCCCGCGCCGGAAGATTGGGGCGGAGGCTTGGGACCACTTCATATGCGGGAATTTCAGAGCGGCGAGCCTCAGAGACCACCCAACCCCTTCCTTATGCCGTGGGGGACCGAGGCCAGAGTGAGGAGGGGACTTGCCAAAAGGCACGTAAGCTTTTTGGAGCGAAGCCAGAGCTGGAGCACAGGGCCGCCGAGTTCCGCTGAGTTCCTAGATTCGGTGAGGCGATAGAAATTTCCAGCCAAGAGGACCTTTAAAGAATACTTTTGTTAGGTCTAACCCCGAAAAAACCTCTTTTCCCCCCCCCCCCCCCCCCCCCCCCCCGCGCGCATTTACTGCTCCAGGGATTGTAAACACTGCAAAGCATTATTTTATTCGCTCAATCACCTTCGTGAGTGGGAGTTTTAGCCCCTCCTTCCTTACTTTAACCAGAAATAGTTTACTAGGCACAGAGGTTTGATGACCTTTCTGAGGGGCCAAATCAAGGTTCAAACCCAGGTGGGCAAATCCAGAGGCCTCCCTCTATCCTGTCTACCTATATGATAGATAATTCCAACAGCCTGTGGTATTTCCCAGGCCTGTAAGGAACAGTAACTTGATTTAAGGTTAGAAACATTTTTCTAAAGCCCATTCATTTTATTTGGGAAAAAAAAAATAATAAATTTTTATTCCAAAGAATGAAAAAGCCTTGAAATAAAGGACAGCTATTTATGTGCTGGGGTTGTAGTTCAGAGGTAGGGCACTTGCCTAGCATGAAGCACTGGGTTCAATTCCCAGCACCAAAAAAAAAAAAAAAAAAAAAGGTTCATTGACAACTAAAAAAAATATTTTTTAAAAAAGGACAGCTGTATATTATTGGGTAATATAGCTTTATGAAAACCCCATTGCAAAAGACCCATTCCACTGAATCTGTTGAAAATTTTATCATTCTCAGGGGCTCATCTTCAAAAAGGACTATGGGAAAGCATTTAGGGGACTGTTTCATACATGGCCCATTTCACGGAAGGGGAGACTTGTCAATCAACTATGACTCTGAACACACAGACACTGACCAAGTATGTGTCCAGTCCAAGAATTCTGTTTTCAGGCCTTGTGACATCTGGGTTTTATTAAATTTTCAAAACAATATTTTTTCTAGTTCACTTTAATTATGAAAAGAAGTACACATATACCTTGATTCTGAAGGGAAGGAAAGATACAGAAACCAAGCAAGGCCGCACTTGATGTCATCATCAGAGAAAGATGCACGCGGACTAGGAGCCTTGGACCTGGGTCACTTGGCTGTAACAATGCATCATGTCCATGCGTTTTGGCCCCAGCAAATGCATTTATGTTTTCTTTTTGTTCCTTCCCTATGCTTCCCAATTAATCTCTTCTTACAATGCTGCCTTCCTAATCCCAGGCCAAGTCTCCACCTGCACACTCATCCCACAAACACTGAAACTTACTTAAAAATGAAGGGTCTTCAATTATTTGTATTTTTTCCCGTACTGTGTCAGTTATTTTTATGAAATATCTGACTAGATAGTTGGCAAAAACGTTTCATTTCCCAAAGTGCCTGATGAATGCTGGGTAGATTTGTTGGAGAATGCTCAGGCTTGATATGAAAATGTTTCCAGTCATCTTTTTGTCTGATTTCCTAGTTTAGGATATTTTTCTTTTTCTTTTTTTTTTTTTTTTGGGGGGGGGGGGTACTGGGTATTTAAGCCAGGGGCTATTTACCACTGAGCCACATCCCCAGCCCATTTTTTAAAAAAGTTGCTTAGGGTCTTCTTGCCAAGTTGCTGAGGCTAGTCTCAAACCTGCAATCCTCCTGTCTCTACCTCCCATGTGGCTGGGACTACAGGTATGTGCCACCATGTCCTGTAGGGATACTTGGTCTTAAAAGTTATACTATGGAAAAACTTACCTGTTCAAAGTTATGACTGACCCCATTTGGAATCTTTGCAAGTCTTGTTTTGACCTCAGAGTATTGCATCATGATAGGGGCTCTGGAGACCATTGCTCATAATCTCCTATTTATGGCCTTTATATAGAACAGGGCTTGCTCAAAGCCACACTAAGTGACACCGCCAGGATTGGAACTTGGGGCCTTGGCTCCTAGTCCTATAGTCCTGTGTGCTTTGTCTACTGCCCTGTGTTGTCTTCACAATGTCATGATTCATTTCGCTTTCTCCCAGAAGCTCAATACTTTTATGAACAAAGGTTATGGTTCTAACGAATGGGATTCCAACTCCTACTCAGCTACTTACTACCTGGGTGATCTCTAAGACTCATGTTCCTTTCTGAAAAAAGGGGATAGATAATTGTACCTTCTTTTGGATGTATTATAAGGATGAGTGAAATAATGCAAAAAAAAAAAAGCCTAAGGCTCAACCCACAGTAGGCATTTAAGAAATGGTAGTGGGCATAGATATGGGTTGCATGCATTGAGTATAATTTCAGTTTTCAACCCAGCAATATAGTCTCACTGGGTTCCATTCTCCCATCCCCGTCCCTGAAGGGACCCTAGGCTCTGGCGCATAGAGAGGCTGGGAGACGGGCCCCCAAGCCTCACCACCCACCCCTTTGGCCTGAAGGGGATTTCCAAGCCAGGAAGCTGGGCCTGAGGCTGGGAGCTGAGTGACTCAGGCAGGTGGCAACCTCTTGCTCTTCCAGAGTGACAACAAGCACATGCACAAAGCCCCACCTGGGAGGAGAACCAAACTGCCTGTGTTTTGTTTTGTTTTGAAGCAGGCAGTTTCCTAATCTTTCTACACTCCCTGCTCCTCTACCACCTCAGCGAGAATAGCTCCAAATATATATTTGAAGAAAATAAGCATGCAAAAAAATTCGCCTATAACAGATTTAATTCTAAACCAAGTGCCAGAAGAGGGGTGGAGGCTGCATCATAAAAGTTTTATAAACCAGGCACCATGGTGCATGCCTGTAATCCAGTGGCTCAGGAGGTTGAGGTAGGAGGATCACAAATTTGAGAACAGACTCAGCAACTTAGTGAGGTCCTAAGCAACTTAATGAGAACTTATCTTAAAATAAAAAAGGACTGGGGATGTAGCTCATTGGTAAAGTGCTTCTGGGTTCAATCTCCTGTACCCCCCCATACACAAAAAAACATAAGGTAACACGGAGTATTTGCTGTGTGCTAGGCTGACATTTGTACATAGTTTATCTCCCAACCAGTCTACAAGGTGGGTACTGATATTCCCATTTCACAGACGAGACAGGAGCTTTGAGGTATTAAATGACTCACCCAAGATCTTATAGAGCAGCAATTACCTGGAGGACAAAGAGCCAGGCTGTTAAACTCTTACCACTCTGAGGCATTATACTGCAGAGTCTTGCCAGCTATTAAGATACGCAACACAGAATGCCAGCCTTGAAAGGGTGTTTAGAAATGATCAAGCCCAAAATCCTACTCAAAATAAATGATTGAATTTGTAGAGATACTAAAAAAAAAAAAAGGAAATGACCAAACCTAGCTTTACATTTGTAGGGCCACACTGAGGTCCAGAAACAGGGCAAGGACTTGTAGGAGGTCTTGCTTGGAGTTTTTGTTTGTTTGTTTTTTGTTTTATGGTACTGAGAATTGAACCCAGGGCCTCACACGTGGGAGGCAAGTGCCCTACTACTGAGCTACACTCCCAGAAAGAAGTGGGTTTATTACAAAAGTGACAGAGATAGACTTCTCTGAAGAAAAGGGGCCCCAAGAGCTGGGAATCCCACTCCCAGACCTTTTAAAAATTTTTAGTTTGAAACGGGATCTCACTAAGTTGCCCAGGCTGGTCTTGAACTTATGATCTTCCTGCTTCAGCCTCCAGAGTAGCTGGATTCTCAGGTGTGCACCACTGTGTCAGGCTTATGTGGAGTTTATGATTAACACTTGGGACCAGAACTCAAGACTTTGGCAATTGCCACACATCCCACTGATGAGAAATGGAGCTTCAAAGTCAAACAAGTGTGTGCTTCATTCCATGAATGAATGAGTGAATCAGGGCCAAGATGAGTGGTGAATAGCACTTGGGGAGGGGGGACAGCGGCTAATGAACGTGGAAAGGAGCAGTTCTGGGTCCCTTTCTTAGATCCATAGCCTGAAGCAATCTCAGGAATGTAAAACCCTACAGTGGATTCTAGGTACTTTTTGGTGTTGGGTGTGGTATGTATATCAAAGAGCGATTTGGGTGATAGCTAAGTGAGATAGTGCGCTTAAGCACATGCTAACTGACTGAAATGCTACCAGCTAATCAGAGCATTTTTCAAATAAGAAATAAATGAGCACAGCCTATGGTCTCAGATTCCCTCCCTTAGCCTAAGAAGGCATTTTAAAATTCTTCCTACCTATCTTCATGAGGGGATGGGAAGATGTCTAGAACTTTCACATCCACCCAGCACCTCAAGGCAGATGAAACCTTTTATATCCACAACTTGTGCCTTTTCCGAGATATGTCACATGGTAGGGCATGGGCTCTGGAGTCAGACACACTTGGGTTTAAAGCTCAGCTCTGCTATTTACGTTCAAGTTTCCTTATCAATGCCATGAAGGCTGTAAGAGTGACCAGTGCATGGGACCAGTGATAATTAAATGCCAGAGTGAAGGGAAGCAGTGGTCATCGTGATTATCAACCCTGCGAGGCAGCAGAGCTGTTTTTTCTCCCTGCCCCAGCTGTGAAGCAACTGCCCAGACCTCATGGAGTGCTCTCTGAGGAGCGGGACTGGAAGGTATCCCCACTGACTTGTTCTTCAGACTTTTTCCTGTTTTCCTCTTTCTGCATCCCAACTCTTTCCCTGGTGTCCTTGGCCTGCCTGTTACTCTTTGATTTCTAGGGCACCATGGGAGGAGAAGAAAGGACAAAGTGACACTGGGGGAAATTCCCAGCCTTGTCACATATGTGGCCTAGCCAGGCCCCTCCCACAGTCCCTGGGAGTCCTGGGTCTCCCCTGCTCCAGCTTCTCTCCCTCTGCTGCCCTTGTCTCCAGACTAGGGTGTCCAAAAGGATTTGGGCTGGGATCCAAGCTTGCCCCTTGTCATCCTTCTGGAAGTGGGACTAAGTTGGGCAGTCTTGGCCCATCCCTTAGGAGGCAGACCTACCCAACTGGAACATTTCCTAATCTTGGGAAGCCCTAACAGGGCCCTGAGAGCAGTTGTCTTTCAGTCCTGCCCCCTCCCTCCCATGTCTTCACCCACACCCCAGCTTTCTAGGGCCCCTCCTCATTCTCCCTCCATTCCTCTGCAGCCCAGAAGCGACTGTCAGATGTGGCCTGTACTCCTTGCCCCTCCTAGCCAGGGACTTCCCTGGGGTGGGCCTCTGACCAGCTTTGGAAATCTGGACTGTTTGTGATCAAAGAGGAGGCCAGATCACCACTGTTCCAGCCCTTGGCCCACTCGCACTTGGTTAAAGTTTCACACAAAAAGGTCCAGGGGCCCTAGGAGCTAAGCAGACAGTAGAGAGGAGAAAGGTCCTTTTGCTCCAGTGATAAGGAAGATCCCAGCCTCCATTATGCTTCCCAGGGAGCACCTCATCTTTACCTATCTGTCTTTTAGACTTCTAAAGTGCCCCCAATAACCTTGCTCTCAAAAACTCACATTCACACACATAGGTTGTGCACAGACACATTCTCACACATAAATGTAAACATGGTCACATATGTACACTCACACGGACCCACACATGTACACTGTTGTGGGTCTGACACAAGTTCACAAACAGACATGTTCTCTTACAAATACATCCATGTTCATGCTTGCAAACCTACACCTTTTTTGGGTCGGCGGGGAATAAGACAAAATAGGCCTTTCTTTTCCTTTCCTTTGGAAAAGCTAGCAAAAACCGGAGAGAAAAAATTTGGCCAAAAAGGCAGGGCAGGAAGAGGAAATGAGATGGGGAGAAAAGTCTGAGGAAAGGAGGCCAGGCAAGGAGTAAAGGCCCAGACCCCAAGACCTGGGTGGGCAGAGCAAGCTGGACTGGGGAGCAGTGGACCCCAGCTGGCAGGAAAGAGGAGGCCAGGTGGCTCTTGGCACAGAGCTGGGAAGGTCTGGTGGCTTGGGCACCAGTGCCGGGAGCCCTCTCCCCTGTCCTGGCCCATCTGCCCCTGGTCTGGGTCACTCACCTGGGCAAGAGCAGGAAAATCCG